GTAGTCTGCTACTACTACGGTTATAGTCCTAAGACTTATAATTACCGCGCTTAGTACCCGTAAGCTATACGCTCGTACCCTTATCGGCTGCTTTAATGCGCCTTACTAGCACTACTATCTCTACCCTTATTATAGGTATAGAGTATAACTTAATAATCTCCTAACGGAGAGCTGGTCTTAGCTTAGCGAGGAACTAACGTACGAGCTACGCTTACGTGTAGTCTAGTTAGCTCTCTAGCACTTCTAGTTTAAGGGCGAATTGCTTTACCGTTTAATCCTAGCTCTGTCGAACCCTTTCGTACTTAAGCGTAACGCTAAGCGCGCGGTTCGTAGGGTCCCCGACGGTATTACGTACGAACGATTAGAAATCCTCCTACGTATAGCTCGGCGTAAGCGCCTCTATAAGGGCCGTGTAAGAGCCCTTATAATAATAGGATTAATAGAGGTAGCTAGATTAACCAACCTTAGAGAAGGGAGTAYAATATAACCTAACTGCTTAGCGTAGGCTTAGCGCATGTATAACTCCTACGTATAGCGCACATTCAACCTACAAGAATTAGTCTTATCTCTAATCGAGTAATTACGGGTGTCTAATACATTGCTACATCTTTACCCTTATAGCCTCGATATCGTGCTCGTTATACTACGACTCCGCGGCGTCTCCTCCTAGCTACATAACGCTATAGAGGACCTTATTATAGTTACTCTCTAGGCTAGTAGTAGTATTAGCGAAGATTATCTTAAGTTAGYRTAGGAATTCGCGTGCCTCTTTAATAGAATCCCCTAAGAATAGTTTAGGATCCTTTATCTTAGGTCTTACGCYTACTCCGCTACGCGTATACGCTACGCTTAAACTCGAGGTGCTTATAGTATTCGGATCTTCCTTATATAAGAGGCGCGTAGGCACGCCGCGACGGGGTATAGTAGTAGCTACGCCTATGTCGGCGCGGTTACGATTACGCTTTATTTGTTAGACTTCTAACTAAAGTTAGCGAATCGTCTCTTACTACTATAGAGCCTGCTTCTCGCCTTYRAGGCGCTAGATTATCTTATTAGCCGTCTCTTCCTTATCGCGTTCGTTTTCTCCGTAATCTATCGTGTCTTCGTCTAGAGTAGGCTACGTAGGCTCTACGGTAGCGACTTCTTCGATATCTCCGTAGTTAGGGAGTCCTTTAACGCGTTCTTCTTCGTAGCGCTACTCGGGAGTAGTCGCTTCGCGGGCGGCGCGCCTAGGGGCTATTCCGTTAGGATCTAATAGATCGCTACCCTTAGAGAGGAAGAAGAATTAGAATTATAAGGGTAAAGATGTAGTAATATATTAGACACCCGTAATTACTCGATTAGAGATAAGACTAATTCTTGTAGGTTAAATGTGCGCTATACGCAGGAGTTATGCATACGCTAAGCCTGCGCTAAGTAGTCGGGTTACATTACACTCCCTTCTCGAAGGTTAGTTAATCTAGCTACCTCTATTAATCCTATTATTATAAGGGCTCTTACACGGCCCTTATAACTAACCCTAAGAGCTGCAACTAGGAGAATCCTCCTAGTATTAGCTATATAATATTACTAGAAAAGATCTTAGATTAATATCGAGATAGCCTTCTTAAACCCTATAATAGATAGGGAGATCTAGATATATCTACTAGAAGGGATTAAGTATCTAGATATAAGAAAGAAAGATTCTAAGAAGTTTCTAATCTATATTAGAAAGGGACTCTATAGGCTAAAGCAGGCTATATCTTTATAGTATTATAATATAGTCGCAATACTTCGGGATATAGGTCTTAAAAGGACTTACTTAGATATATACCTATTTATAGGATATAGAGCCCTTATTCTTATATATATTAATAACTTTTAGA